CATTTAACGACCACAATTTTAATCTATAAATGATTATTTTGAAGTATCACTGTTCACTAATCTTTCAAAACTCGTCAAAGTAGATTTTTCGAAAAGTGAAGTACTTCTAAACTTATCAAATATTTCCAAATTCGAAGAAACGTCTTACGCGCAGGATACACATCGTTAGCGGTAGTCTCACATACGCCATTTTATATTTTTCCTACACAACAACGTCCGTATTATCTTGTCACGATATAGAGATCTTTTTACTATTACTTATTATCGTTTTATTTATTCCTGCCAATGTCAATTATATCACGCGAATCATAACGGAATTTAATCAGATTGTACCAAGTAACTTTACACGTAATATAATTGACGTAAAAGAAATGAATTTAATGTGACATACATATTAAATTATTAAAATTGTATTAAGGTAATTCGAATAACAAACATATATGTTATTTTATATTCGAATAATTTTACAGAAATTAATTAATTATGTAATTTAATGACTCTATTATTTTTTGATATATCATTATATATAGTACTCACTTGGTATATATTATTCATCGTATAAAAATTCATGACTAGAACTTTTACAAATGGGAAAATAGCAATTGAATATAATCTCATCTTCCATAATAAAAAATAAACGAAAATCAATTATTTCACTTTATCAATGCAAAATAACTTTATCAATGAATTCGCCTCACCAGAAAAGTATAAAGAATTGTAATGCTTAGTATCATATCATCAAAGTGACCAAGTATAGATACGAACTTGAAACGAAAGGGTATAAAGATATCTTTTCGATGACGATGAAACGCTCGATGCATTAATTTTTACTTTGTTCTGAATAATCATAGTCTATGATCTATAAAAAATAAATTTATATTTATGAATAAACGGTTTACTTTTATCAAGGTGATCATAAAAAAAAAAGAAAAAAAAAATAAAAAAGATCTAATTTTATCGACGGCTGTTTTCGAAGGACATAATGGCGAATAGAAAAATGAAAATACAGATACGAACTTCCGGTAATGGCGATCAACTTCCGTTTCAGTCAATGAGTCTAACTTCCGGTGTCGGGGATCGTCTTCGATGGGTCGAACGGAAGAAACCCATGTTACGTATTTTAAAAGGACAAATGGCAAAGGCGATGGCATGGAAGGAGAAGATATAATGAAATAAAAATAAAAAAGGGATTACTCGGTTACAGATCTGTTTGTTAGTTGGAAGACAAACCTTTCGGCGCCTCCGTCGTTTCAAGTAAGTTTTCTTCCAATAGAATGACAGTTCCAGTGACGACGATATGGCGATCGACGGCTCGAATACGGCATGCGATTATATCGGCCGAAGACAAATGGTCGATTTATTCGACCGGTCGGCCGATGTAAACCGATGTTGACCGATGTAGACTAGAAGAGATGTCCGCCGAATTAACAACCGCCTGTCTGCTTATCGTCTGCATACGTACGTACAACCGTGTATGTACGATGGCGAAAGACTCGATACTCTGCGATGCTCGCTCGAGCTGACGTATCGCGCCTTCGTAGAATCCCTTCTCTCTCTCTCTCTCTCTCTCTCTATCTTTTTCGCCCTCCTCTTCTTCTCCTTCTATCTCTCTCACTCCCTCACTCCTCCCGCTCTTTTCCACCCCTTCTCTTACACCTCACTCTCTCTTTCCGTCCCCCTTCTTCCTCTTCTTCACAAGATTTCGATGGTACCGACATATATGTATATATATATTTAGTCCAATTACACACACGTTAAAAGTACCCGTAATTCCTATTGCTTTTTATATTAAGAATGTACTTATTCTTCGTTTATGATTTTTTTTCCAAATGGACACATCAATTTGTATACTATTATAAAACTCTTTGGAGTTGATTTAGAATAAAGTGGAAAAATTAATAGGTTAAGTCACTGAAGGTACTATTTAACAGTGTAATTAATTTAATATAGGTATATATTTTTTTATCCTTCTCAATAAAGAATATGAAGAAATATTTTTTATAATATTTCTAAATTAAATTAAATTAGTCTCGACGGGAGCGAATAATAGGAAGCGTTTGTGAAATTTTGCTAAAAACGAGAACTCTTCCTCTTGCAAAACGAATCGGCTCGTGATGCCGATGGCACGATATTGTAAGCGTGGCAGATCGGGCGCCATCTGCAATTCCTGTTTCTGGTTTCAACAACCGGGAACGTGTTCCTTTTGCCTGTGCTTTGCGTTCGATGACTACTATTATTGCCGTTACAGACTGCCACCTATACCTAACGATATATTATTTAAAACTTGATGGAATCTTTGTAGATTAATTATAAACAAATTTTATAAATATTTTTAAAATAATTTAAAAATCTTACCTTTTTAAGTTTCTCGCATTCAACCTTGTTACTTCAGAATGCTACTATGCAGAAAGGAGGGAGAGAAAGTCTGACGAGTATGTATAAGATAGAGGAAGAGGGAGAAAGAGAAAGGGGTTAGAAAGAAAAATATAAAGATGCTTTATTTATTTTAGCATATTATTTTTTAATATAATTAATTTTTCCTTCAAAAATCTTGCGTTGTATAATATTTTTTCCCTTATCATTGTTATTAACTTATTGTTTAAATTAAATAGATAACCTGATAAAGGTACTTACTTTCGAATATTTCTGTAGCAACTAATTCATTACACTACTCTCAATATAATTTGTAGTTACGAAAAAATTCAATTCAAATCCATCAGCATAACTATTAATTTTTTTTTCCTAATTGAAAGGGAGAGAGAGAGAGAGAGAGAGAGGATGCTTGTTTTATAATTTTATAAAAGGATGCGATTATAAGCGTTGAATTGTTAAAGTATTTTTCTTATACAAATATCAGTAATTCTTTTTGTTAAATATGTTTTCATGAAAATATTTTTTCATTAAATAAAAAAAAAAATTATTAAAAAATCTTAATGACATAATCAATTTCTATTAACAGTATTTATTGTACAATCACTAAAAAGTTTTGTACAGCTAAAGAAAACTAAAACCAAGACTTATTAACGATTAGTATTATTATTTTAAGGGACAACGAAGAAAGATTATTTTTTTTTATAAATTATATATACTGTAATATTTACAAATTTTACGTTATTTCATGTAAGGATATGTGGTTTATATATATATATATATCTTAAAAGGATATTGATCATGTCATTTTCTATATTATCGATTAAAGTATTATCGATGAAATTAACAAAAATATATTATAAATAAAATATTAAGGCTGTTTATTTACTCCTGATTTTATAATGATTCATGCCAAAAATAGGTACAGGCGTAATTCATGAACAATTTTGATGATCGAGGTTTCATTTTCAAACATTCTCATTTCAATCATTTTTTTCGAAAAAAATACCTTTATTCCTTTTTTTAAAAGTCGTTTAAAAATAGTGTTTCCTCGAGAATAATTTATTCATAAAAATAAAACTTTTTCAAAAATTCGAAAAGTCATGTTCTTCCTCATTCATTTTTAAAATGAGATCTTGTCCATCAAAATCATTCAAGAATGACGTCTGGACTCGCTGTTGGTGTAAACATTTGTGTGGCATTTTAATAAAAAAAAGTTTTGTATAGTGGCGCCCATTGAATTTTGCGGCAAAAGAGAAGAAGCTGCTATCCTTACTACTAATTTCCATATGAACGCTAAAGTGGTATATGATTTGTTTCCGGAAAGTAGACAATTACTTCCTTGTTGTTGCATAAATCAATGTTCAGATTTTCTGATCTATACCAAACGTAAAGAAATGTATTTCGTCATGCTCATATGGAAAATAAATAATTTATTTATTCAAGTATTTTAATTAATATTCGACTAATGATCCTATGGTAAAAATAACCAAATATGTATTCAGTCGTTTATGTTAATGTATCTTAGGGATGATATATTATTTTGGAATAATTTTATAATTATTTAAATGATGTACAGTGTATATGAAGTAAGTACATACAATATACTAATATTTTAACAATAATATATATTTGTTTAAACATTACATAGCTCGTAATACGCGTTAAATATAAAATAATTGAAAATAAATATTTAAACGTATTTAAATTTTGATTTCTGCAGGTTCTAAACTACATTTAATATTAACGAAAACAAACGTACGATTGACTTTGACATTTATCGATCCAGTCTTCTTTCACATTCCAACGAGGAAACATCAAAGCACTCTCTTTCCAAACGTTTAAGACAAACAATTAATACTTTTGATAATTTTATAATTATTTAAATGATGTATGATGTACACGGAGTATAATAAATTAATATTTAAAAAATAGTACATTAGTTTGAACATTACATGATTCGTAATACGCGTTAAAGATGAAATAATTTCAATTTAATGTTTTAATATAAAAATCTTGACCAGCCGGCCATTGTAAATCTATAATATCAATGAAAACAAACACTCGACCGACTTTAATAGTTATATAATTTATTATATGTATAATAAATTCTCTTTTGTATTCCGACGAAATACATCAAAATTCTCTCTCTCTCTCTCTCTCTCTCTCTCTCTCTCTCTCTCTCTCTCTCTCTCTCTCTCTCTCTTTCTATCTCTCTCTCTCTCTCCAAGCGACCATTTCTAAATAATTAAAATTTTTGATTATTTTACATTTATTTAAACATTATATAGAATATGCGTATAGTATAAGTGTAACAGCACATTGTAGAGTCAGGATTTTCAGCAATTAATATAATAATTAATATACGTTTCTCTTCTATACTTCCTCGATCTTTATTTAGATTAGGATCAAGAATTTTTTATTTTCTTTTACTTTTTCTTTTTTAAAGAAAACGAATACTAATTCTAATTCTAAAATGAAAAGCATTTTAAATTTTACATATTATTACTAACATATTTCGGTAGATAAATAGATTAAATATAATAGAATTCTAAAATAATTACTTAGATAAGCACTGAAAAATTCTCATTTCTTTATTATTTTTATTTATCATTATTGATTTTCATTTATTTTTATTTATTTTTATTTACGTTTTTCAGATTAAATATTATAATTTTCTATTTTATATACTTATCTTCGTCATCATAATCACATATTACAAAATTCAAGATATTCATCAGTGATTTTCTCTCTTTAACTATTTGTATAAATTTAACTAGAAATAAAATGTATGAAATTTGTATAATTAATAAATTCTTTTTAATTAATATAATTTAGCATATAGTTTTTTCTTACTTTTATCAGATATACTACTAATTGAACTGTATATAAAAATTTTCTCACATACTAATGCTATTGTTAGGTTATGCATGAAAGGGGTTTAACTTCTATAAGCTTATATATCGATATAATAGGCGCATAGTGAGTGAATTAGTTTCCCTAATACGTTTGTAGTTTATATTTTATGCATACTTGTCGCTGAAGTCGCATACGTTATGAGTAATAGGTGGTGAACAGCCTTAATATCATGATACGTATATATTATGTGTAACATATTTTAACTCGATCGATATAATTGATTGTATTAGTAAAGTTTTAAAATAATTATTAATAACATTAATTAAACAGATATGTCTATTAATAAAAATTAAAGTTGAAGAATAATTTGATGCAAGTCATACGCATGATATAATATATTTTAAAATAAAATGCATGATAATAGTGAAAGTTACTTTTCACGCGCGACGTTTCTTCGAATATAATTTTGTGGATATTTTTAAATATGTGTGAATGTGTGTCATATATGTTATATCTAAAAATAAAAATATTTTAAATCGTTTCGTTCAAATTTAATATATATATATATATATATATATATAAAGAAATAAAATCTTAAACGTTTTAATAAATTGAAATAATATTATCAATGTTGTTTCTTTTATTTTGGATTATTACATTATCATGCAGGAGTGTTGCAAAACCAAACTTTCTTTTGATAATGATTGATGATTTAAGAACAACACTAGGATGTTATGGGGATCACAATTCATATACACCAAATATAGATCATTTAGCAAAACAGGGCATAATTTTTTCTCAGGCATATGCACAGGTCAGATAAAATATTACTTGATATTAATTAATAACTCTCAATCTTTGTTTTTTTTATACATAATATTTATTATATAAATGATTGTGTTTCATTCATAGCAAGCTTTATGTGCACCTAGTAGAAATTCAATATTAACTAGCAGAAGACCGGATACATTACAGTTGTATGATTTTTATAGCTATTGGAGAGATACAGTTGGTAATTTTACAACATTACCAGAATATTTAAAAAATAATGGATATAATACTATGTCTGTAGGAAAGATATTTCATCCAGGTAAAATGATATTTTTGTTATTGAAAGTTTATTTCAAAAATTTGTACGTTGAATTGTAATATTTACAGGTATCAGTTCTAATAATTCTGACGATAGTCCTTATTCTTGGAGTGAAAAACCTTTTCATCCTTATACAAATCGTTACAAGAATGCACCAGTTTGTCAAACTACTAAAAATTCACTTCCTGCACAAAATCTTGTAAATGTTATATATTTTATTATCTTATTAAGATAATTAGATTTAATTATCTTATGATATGTTATCTCTATATTGCTTCAATATATTCTTGTAGGTATGTCCAGTGGATTTAAAATTTATGCCAAATCAAACATTACCAGATATTGAGATATTAAACAAAGCCAAGAGATACATACACATGCATAAAAATGATGTTAAGCCATTTTTTTTAGCTGTTGGATTTCAGAAACCACATATTCCCTTAAAATACCCTAAAAAATACTTAAGTAAAAAGTACATTTTTATATTATGTAGATATATATACATATATAGAAAAATACATTTATATTAATAATGATCCTTAAGATATATAAATAATACTAAAATTAATTTCAGAATATCATCCATTAGAAAAATTTAAAGTTCCTAAGCCATATGCTTGGCCAAATAATACTGATAGTGTTGCATATAATCCATGGATAGATCTTCGCAAAAGAAAGGATATACAAAGATTACATTTAAAATTCCCATGGGAAAAAATACCAGGTATAAAAGATATAAATTATTCTTCTTTTATATATTAATTCAAGATTTAAAATATCCATTTTTTTTAACTAGAGAATTTTGCCAAGTTGATTACACAATCATATTATGGAGCTGTGTCTTATATCGATGATATTATTGGCAAGCTTATATATCAATTGCATATTTCTAAGATCTTGAAAAAAACTGTAATCATATTAACTTCTGATCATGGTAAACAATGGTAGATTATTATAGATGGAAGTTTAAATCATTACAAAACAATCTTTTTTATTATGTAGGTTGGTCTTTAGGAGAACATGCAGAATGGGGAAAGTATAGTAATTTCGATGTCTCAGTACATGTACCTCTAATAATGTCGATACCTTTTATGACATTCAAGGTATGTAATTTTGATGTTTCTTTCATAAAATAATAAATTTCAGTATTTCTCTTTCATAATCTCATTTAGTAATCTCAGTTGGTAACATTATCAACAGCGTTCATTAACTATTGTTACCAACAGATGGTACTGTCATATTTTTAAATACACCGTTTTTTAAGGTACTATCATTTCGACAAAATTAACATCATCCTATAATGATTTTTTATCGGTTACACAGTAATTAAATATATATTATTATTATTATTATTATTATTATTATTATTATTATTATTATATTATCATCTTCGATATTAACTTTTTGATTATATTAAAAGGAGTGATGCTATTTAATACGAAATAGTAATATCTTTATATATGAACTAAATAACTTTAAATTAATAGAGTATTATATTTATTTAAGAAAACTACGGAACATTTTACTGAATATAATGCAAATACGATTAATAAGTTTAAATTCGAATATAAAGGGTATACAAATTTAAGGTATTCTCGGATTAAAAAAAAAGGAAATAAAAAAAATGTTACATTTTTAAAACATATAGATACTTTTACAAAAACAGGTAATTCAGAAAAATTATATAAAAGTATTAATAATTATATATTTTTTTAATTTTTTTTTTTATAAATGTTTATTATCGTAAGTAATTACAAGTATTACAAATATAAAAAAGGTTGTTCCTTCTTTTTGTAGATGCTATTGTAGAACTGGTTGATATTTTTCCTACAATTGCCGAATTAGCCGGAATTCCAGTACCAATTTGTTCAAACATAGAAAAGAAATGTGACAATAATTGCAAATATCCATCAGTGTGTACAGAAGGAATTAGTCTTTTACCACTTATCAGAACTATATTGGATAAAAAAGTAAGGATGGGTTACATCGTTAATTATTATAAATTTTATTTATATAATTTTATTTTTTATCTTAGATAATACCATGGAAGAAAGCAGCATTCAGTCAATATCCAAGACCAGGTATAGAACCTACATTACATCCAAACAGTGATGAACCGCATTTGAAAGAAATAACTATTATGGGATACAGTGTAAAATCACATGAGTATAGATACACCGCGTGGATACCATTTATATCAGAAAATAAAACAGCCAATTGGAAAATTATCATTAGTGAAGAATTATATAATCATAATTATGATTCAGCAGAGTACTTCAATTTAGCAAGATCTCCAGACTTTTTAAAAAAAAAAATTGAATTAAGAACATTACTCCAAGATGGTTGGAGAAAAGCCTTACCAAATTATATTTAATTATATGAAAATTGTTGAGAAAATATCCTAATAGATCTGCTTCAAAAACAAGATCCAAGGATAAATATCCTTTTTTGCTTTGTGTTATAGAAATTAGAATAAATATAATATATCCTTGTGCATACGTTGTTATATAAATATATAAATCTAATAGGAATGTACGTAATATCATATGTAAGTGAAATACATAAAATGATTGCGAAAGTGAATACATAAAGTTTTTTTATGTAACGTATTATATGTTAAAATCAATAAAATAAACTAAATTTAAATGGGATAACTAAAAATCTAGTTTATTTCATTATACATTTAGAAAACTATTACTCATTTCATGCAATATTTGTTGTTTTAACTATGGATTATAACTCTACGCAAATTTTCGATACGTAATACTTTTACAAATAAAAATTTACTTAATGACAAAAAGCAATAAAAAATGTATAAGGATTATTAATACTTTATGTTAAATATTTCATTAATATAATATGACAGCTTCCATTATAAAGATTCTATTCAAAGAATCAAACTTTTATATTCGATTAATGTTCATTTATACACAGCATATGAAAATGTACACCAATTATTGATGTATTATTATATATGAGCCAATAATTATTCCTTTAGGATAATTAGTTTCTTCAAAAATTAAAACTCATTAAATTTCTTACATTACATTATAAAAAAATGCAGAAGTTCCCATTAATCGGTAATTTCTATTGAAAAAGTAAATCAAGACAATTAATATTAATGTATATTTATATAAAAAAATTAAATCAGAAGAATTAGTTTGATTCTTTGAAATACATACTGAAGAATATAGTTTAACTATCAGAAAGACAATTATAACATATTATTTTAAAGATCATTCTTCTTGTTCCTTGCTTGTTGGAACTGTTGAAGTCTTTGCAGAAGTATCAGCTGTATTTGTTGAATCTATTGTAATCTATATTATTTTAAAAAATAACAAAATAATATTTATTAATAAAAATAGATCCGAGGCGATATAAATTGTTTGAAAATTGATATTCATTTATTACCTGAGCAATGTCAGTTCTAGGTTGAACATTACTGGTTGAAGCTTTTGGATAAGCATACGGATTGATTACTCTAACTGGATTCTTTAATGGAGGATTAGATACATTTGTATAAGTGTTGTTTGTCCCATAAATCATTTGTTGATTTTGTAGTAATTGTTGTCTCAATAAATTCTGATTCATCTATACATTAAACACAATAAAAAAATTATTAACAAATTGATTGTACTTGATTTAGAATATATTTCTTTTAAACTTTCTAAGCCAATTATTATATATGTTATATTTCAATAAAAATAAGAACTTACTGCAGCAGACATATTAGTTGTACCTAATGGCGTAGTGATTTTCTGTTGTACGTTCTATTGATTTAATTATAATATTAAAATATTTTCTTATTAATATATTATAAGAACAATGATCTCACATATACATACGCTGGCACGTAATACACCTACCTGCGTGATAATAGGATTTCTGCTAGGTTGAACCATAGCTTGTTGTTCCCAATAATTATACATATCCACCAAGGCTCGAGCTGTCATAAATTTACGTTGTTCTGGCGTTGCATTAGGATACTGAAATTTTATTTAATATTAATACTAGTTATATATAATACATATTCATATAGAAAGATATTATTTTATTTTGTCCTCTTACGTCTTTTTCGATCAGTTTTTGTAGATTTTCATAATCATTAATTTGTGTAGTATTATTTAGTGCCATATTTTGACGATTCAGATTAGCTATCATATTATTGTACTGTTGTAACAAGATATTATTTTGATAGGCTGTCGTCATCATTGCATTGGGTGGCGGACCTTTTTTCTCTTCTTCATATTCTAGCCAAGCCTGTTTTCTTTCCTCTTCGTCTAATTCTTCATCAGCCTAGAAACATGTGTAAAAAATAAAAAAGAAATTGACCTCATATCGATTATACTTTTACCTTGTTTTCCAATAAGGAATCATGCTCATGATAGTTTTCAACTAAATCCTTGTATTTTAAAAAAATTTCTGCCAACAATCTATCCTTTGGTAAATTTAGAGTAGGTTTGTCAGTATTAGTATGTGGTTCAAATTTATATAATTCATTCAGGGCGTTATGACTGTAATGACGTTCTATTTGCTGTTCATCCACAACACGACAGGAAAGTGATAATTTTGTGACTTGACGATTATATATTTTTTCTTCCATCGTACCCGCTGCGAGAAATCGGTAAACATAACATGGCTTCTTTTGACCAAATCTATATTTAAAATAGAAAAATATAAAATCATATTATTACATATCAAAATTATTGAATGTAATAATTGGAAAGAATAGCACCTGTAAACTCTGAATATACTTTGTATATCGTGTGATGGATTCCAACTTGCATCGAATATAATTACTCGATTAGCAGCAGTTAAATTTATACCCAAACCTCCAGCTCGCGTTGATATAAGAAATAATCTTCCCCTTGTATTGCTAGCTCTATTAAATATCTTACACCAAGCGCTTCTATTTTCTGCAGATGTTTGTCCATCTAATCTGAAATAATCTAAACCTAAAGACCAACTTCCCGTATGTCCTTCTAATTTCTCTGATATTATATTGTTTTGTTCCGCTTCGTCTATTTGGGAAAGGAACTGTTCGATCAAGGTTAAAGAATATAAAGATTGAGAGAACACCAACCTAAAAATATTAATATGAATATGGCATGTTTAAAAAAAATGAAAAAAAAAAAAAAAAAAAAAAAAAAAAAACAAAAAAAAAAAAAAAGAAAAAAAAAATGAATAATAAACATACACTTTATCACCAATTTTTTCACATTCTTTTAAAATACCAAACAATAGAACGAGTTTGGTAGAAATCCTCATGTCATCAAAGTGTTCAGGCTGTACAAATTGTGACCACCATTCTTCCTTTTCTGTTACTATTTCCACTGATTCTGGCTCTGAGTCATTTTCTTAAACAAAAATTAACTTAAGTGTAAATGATACACAATGTTCTCATGATAAAACTTACCATATGCATTACTTCGAGTTTTTCGTTTTCGAACAGGAGATGAAGAATGTATAGATTGAACATCACTATCGCTATTGCTGCTGGTACTACTAGTTGTCTCTTCCTCATCTGAGACAACGAAATTTTTTAAAGATCCTTCTGAATCACTAGCATATCGTTTCTTTTCGTTTGCCTTTTCAACTTTTTCTGAATTCAATCGCAAAACTACAGGATGAGTCCATATTCTTTGCAATGCTTGAAAATCTGGGAATAGGGTACCTTTCATACCGCTAAGATGTCTAATAAAAATATAATATCATCGAAGTTATTTTACAATAGTAATCAGATGAGTATATATTTTTAAATATTACATTAATATATGTTAATATCGATATACCTTGCCAAATTATCCAAATAGTATTGGTATAATTTGATTTGTACATCTGTGAGTCTAACAAAAATAACATATTCTTGTTTTGGCGGTAAAAAGGGCGTTAGCACAGAATAATCAAATCTTTGAATACTTCCTTGTAACAATTTGTGTAATACATGAGCACGTTTTTTCATTAATTTGACGTCATATTCTGTAGAATTGTCAAATTGTCCATTTGTTATAGGATTTACGAATCTGTTTAAAAATTCTCGTTTTGTTCCCAAAAGATTGGGTTTAACGAATTGAACCATGCAATGATCTGAAAAATATTATGTTTTATCTTATTATACTATAATGTTAAATAATTTTAATTTATGTAAATATGAATTGTTACATTCTATTAAATTATTCTGTAATGGCGTTCCAGTAAGCACAATACGTCTAAGCGTTTTCACTTGTTTCATGCATTTACTAATTGCAGTATCTTCGTTCTTCAATAAATGTCCTTCATCGCATACTATAAGATCTGGACCAGGATCGATCAAGCATTTTAATATCGCCTCTTTCATGTGTTTTCGAACATTTTTATTTAGACGAGTAAGATTACGGAACATTTCATATCCAATAATTAATACACCACCATTTTTATGCCACTGTTGAAGCTGATACTTCCTTTCAAAATTTTTTTTACATCTTAAAGTAAAAAACGGTATAATATTAAATAATATTATTATTAAACTTAGAATAGCATGTTATATATAAAAAATATGATCTATAAGAGACTTACTTTGTTAATTCAAATGTATCGATATCTCCATTCTCTATATCTTTTAGCCACATATCAAATTCATTAACCCAATTAAGAACAGTACTAAGAGGACAAACTACTAAGATAGTTTTTACTCCTGTTTCTTCATGGCTTAAAAGAGTATGTGATAAAGTAATTACTTGTAGAGTCTTTCCAAGTCCCATGCAATGAGCAATAATGCAACCTGATCCAGAAGTAGTTTTTATTCTTTCCAAAGACTCAAAGCATGCATCCCACATAAATTTAATTCCTTCTGCTTGATGTGGTTTCAAACGTTTTACCAAATCCTTATGTACACTTATAAGTTCTTCCTTTGTATTAGGATCAAAATCTAATACTAATTTCTCTACTTTCTCTTCACCAGCTAATCGTATTTCATACATTTCATTGTACTAAAATCAATGTTATAATACATATAAAATATATATTAGTATGTTATATATTATTTATAATATAGAGTGTTTTTGCCAAATTGCCGATAATTCTGATGATTTTTCAGTGAATTGTTTAAATATTTATATTACTATATATATATAAACATGTACATACGAGTTTCTGGCGTTCCATAATACGTTTCAATCTTTCCTCTTCTTCTTTAGCTGCTTGTTTTGTATCCTCAGCTACTTGTTTATCCTTTAGAACTTTGCGAATATTTTTTCTTCCACTTTTACTTGATGTACCTTGTGAGTTAGTAATTTTGTCACTATCACTGTTGCTATCACTTGATACATTTTTTATCCGTCTTCTTTTCGGTTTTTGCCTGAGAAATTGCAGAAAAAACAAGACAATAAGATTTTTGACAATTGTATGTATATCTCGTTAAATATATATGTATATATATATATATATATATACTTGGTTCCTGCAACTGATGATTCTGTGTCAGATGATTTTTTGGCATTTTGTTTTTGTTTCTTTTTTTGCTTTTCATCACTGCTATCATCAGAGTCACTCAATATCATTACTTCACTTGAACTACT